CCATTTGTAGCAGTTATGTGGCCAAATCATAAAATTGTAATTGCGAGATCAAAGCATATGTAAATTTGTAAACTTTGTATTTCCAAAACAGCTGTACAGTGGGTTGTTCAGTTTATACTTTCCCCTGGCCAAATACAAAGTGCACTTGCTTCTCTAGCCTTCTACCTACACACACACACACACACACACACTTTTAAGAAACATATATATGTAATAAATTCACAAAGATTTCCAGTTAAGCAAATTCATCCATAGCTTCTATCACATTATCCAAATCTCTCCTCAGAAGATATATATATATATATATATATATATATATATATATATATATAGTTATACTCATGTATATTTTGATTTTCATGTCTTTGATAAGTAGTGAGAAATACCTTTATATTTTTCATAGTTTGGACCATTACAAATTGTCATTTTTCTAATGGAGAGTACATATTTTCTTATTTTTTCAATTGTACCCTTTTAAAAGAAAATTAATACTTTATATATCATAAGTAAAATCTATTTTCCCCAATTTGTGATTTAGTGCTTTTAACCAGGAAGAGATGTCTATGTTTTAATTAAAAATTTAGAGTGAAAAGAGTGTTGAGGAGCTGGGAATATGGCAGGGGCAGGATCATAATTTTTTTTTAAAGATTTATTTATTTGTTTATACAAGCACTGGGTACAGTCAGAAGCGCGGGAGGGGGAGAGAATTCACCAGAGCCAGAGCGGGGAGCAGAGCAGGCAGAAGGACCGAAGTACACTGCTGAGGGGAGCAGCGGGCGGCAGGAGAGGTCTGCGCGCCATGTGGGACCCTCCTCTGGTGGCCAGGGCGCGGCCAGGGATTGAACTGGCGCTGCAGAGGCTGCGGGCAGCTTCACAACCCAGCGCTCAACTGCTGCGCCACCAGGGGGGCCCCAGGATCATAATTTTGAATGTCTCTGAATACCTACATAAAAATTACTGAGCTGCCAAAGCAAAAACCTACGGACAACATTTTCATAAAACTAAGTGGCAAGGATTCCCCTCGGAGTCCCAAATACAAAGATCTGAGTACAAACAATAAGCAAATGCAAGATCTTTCCAGAATGGTGTATGTGCCCAAAGAAAGGGGCAGCAACAGACTTGGGTATGAAGGACTTGGGCTCAGAAGGACCTCAAGAACCCAGCAGAGACTGGACACATCCCAGGCTTCCACAACAGAGTACCATAGAGTATGACTTGAACAGTTGTATCTATCTCTTCTTAGAGCCAAAAAAAAAAAAAAAAAAAACCAAAAACAGAGCGTAATGCCTAGCAGACCTCTGGAGGCAATGTATTCCTCACGTGGGTGTGTTACTCTGGGTCACATAAGCTGCTAGTTCAGCTCACTGAAGACTGCTAGTTTTGAGTCACCCAGATCAAAAGAACACTCTGTAGTAAGTCTAGCAGGTGCCCAAGCTACTTTTCCATATGGTCCATGTGGTCCAACTGATCCTCTGTTGCTTGAAGTGTTAGTGACAGCTAGGAATACTGTTTGAGCCTTTGACAGGGCTCTAGAGGTGAATCCCAGTGTAGAACCTTAGGATTTTGGAGCAATCATATTGCACCAGCTTTATTAGATTGACAGATTTCACAGCATATCTTCTGTCTGCTTTTTCCTCTTATCTTACCCTTGTTTTTATATTTAAAATTTGCCTTTTGAGACATTCTAGTTAGGTTTTCCTTTTTCATTCATTTGTTCAATATCTGTCTTTTAATTGGGGAAATTTAATACATTTACACTTAATGTAGTTATTGGTGTGTGAATTTAAGTCTACCATCTTGCTATTTCCCTTCCACTTGTACTTTCTTCTTTTAATTCTTTTTGTTGTTTTTGTTTATTTGGTGTTTTCTTTTGCTTTTTTTCTTTTGGGTTAATTAAATAAATTTTAATGTTAAATTGTACTTCCTTTACTGCTATCTTTGGTACACTTCTTTTTGTATTTATTACTCTAGTGCTAACTATAGGCATTATCATCTTAGCTTCTATTTAGAATGACTATTGTACCTCTTCACACTTTATTCTTGACACTTCATGCCTCCTCCTTAATTCTTTTGTTTGTTCAGTTAACCTAAGACACTTCTGACTTTATGCTTTCAATTGTCACTTCACAAATGTAATATATTCATACAGCACAATTCCTTTACATTCCCCCATTTTGGTAAAATCATATAAATTTTATTTATATATAACCGTTAATATATGCACATAGTATATATGTGTATATATATATAATCACTTTATAGAATATTTTAATTTAACCAGTTATTTAAGGAAATTAAGAGGAAAATGGTATTTTATATTGCTATACTCATGTAATTTTCCAGTACTTTCCATCATTTTTTGTATAGTTTCCAATTTCAGTATATTTCCCTTCAGTTTGAAAGACATAGTTTAGCTTCTCATGAAGCATATTTACTTTAAGTAATGCTCTCAGATTTCACTTATCTAAAAATGTGTCCATTTTACTCATTTTAAAGAGTTTTTTTCTGGATATCTAATTCTAGGTTGATAATTACTTTTCTTCAGTGTGAAATATATGCTATACCATTGTCTTCCAATCTCCTTGCATTTGGTCAGAAGTCAATGGTTATATTTATCATTATTCCTTTGTGTGTAGAATGTTCCACACCTCCATTATCACTCTACTACTTCCAAAGTATTTCCTTTACCTTTGGTTTTTTGTAGAATAACCAAGATAAGGTATGTGCCAATACTTTTACATTTCTTGGACTTTGCTGAATTTCTTAGATCTATAAATTGGTGTTTTTCATCAATTTTTTAAAGTGTTTGTCCATTGTTTCTTAAAATTTTTCAATATTTTCCAGTACATTTGAAAGTATTTTTCAAACCCTACTCTCACTTTTTTTTTCCAGATGGCCCATTACTCTTGCATCAAATCATCCTATGTTCTCTAATTTGCTCAGGTTTGCCCATCGCTCGTAATTTTTTTTTCTTCAGATTGAATAATTTCTGTTGCTCTGCCTTCAGGTTTACTGTTTATTTTTCCATCTTTAATGTACTATTAAGTCCATCCAGTACGTTTAAAATTTCTTTTGTACTTTTCAATTCTAGAATTTCCAAGTGGTTTTTATGGTTTTTGTATTTTCCACCTTTTTTTTCTAGAATGCCCTATCTTTTCCATTCTTTGATACCATGTTTTCCTTTAATTCTTTGAACATATTTGACTCTATTATTTTAACAATATTTTCCTTTTGTAAAAAAATAATCAAAAATTTTTAATGAAATACTGGCTATCATGGATGATAAAGTACTCTGAAAAAAGTACTCTAAAAGATGTAACTTGGTAAGATCACTCATCAGATTCTGTTTGGATTTGATGGTAGGTTTTGTTAGGGTGGATCCAGAATAACTTTTGTTTTAAAACTTAATTTTTATGCTTGAAGCATAGTGTTTTTTGGCATTTCAGCTCCATGCCAAGATATTCATGAATTATTAAAGAAATCACTCTACTTTGTTAGAGCCACAACTCTCACATACGCTGGCACTGCTCTTCCCCCAGTATTACTTAACCTCCAGAATCTGTTCTAGCTCAGCCCCAAAGGATCCATTGAGCCCTGGAAGGACTCACTATCGTAAGTGTAGGATGACATTCAGCCACAAATTCAAGGGAAAGTCCTCTGCACAGACTTCTGGGACTGCTTCTCTATGAAGCTTCTTCCCTCTGTTGTCCTATCCCACAGACTCCAACCACTTCATCTGTTCTAAATGCTAATATCTTCCTGTTCAGCTCAGAATAATACTAGGTTCTGTTCAGAATCCAGCTCTCTGTGCTTTAGTCAGGAAATTGTCCAAAAGAAAAAAGTCAGGCAATTATAGGGTACATCCTACTGGTTTCCCTTTTCTTAGCAATTGCCTCTTTTCACTGCCTCAAAACAGTTGCCTCATGTATTTTGTAACAATTTTATAGTTGTTTAATTGTAGGGAGACTAGTCCAGTACTAGTTACTAAATTGTGTCTGGAAGCAGAAACCATCCCACAAAAATTTATTACAAGATGAAAGATAATAAGGACTCAAATAATATCCCTACAGACAATGAAATTGTGCCAAAAGACATGCCTTAAAACATATCAAAACTGTAATAGCTCCATTTCAAAAGAAAAAATGAAAGGTATTAAGCACATTGTATAAGACCATGAAAGAATAAGATAAACCAGAAATAGATGTATTCAGAATTGAGGTGCCAAAACTCAGACTAGATGTATAAACTTTAAAAAAATCAAAATTTAAGATAATAGGAACCCAGAGAGAACAAACGGATAAACAAAACATAGTGTTCAGATGATGAAACAGAAGGGGAAAGAAGGAGGTTTTTAAAAATCAAAAACTCAGTGAAAGAACAGAAAGAGTAAATATTTGTGCAAATATAATAGAGGATTTTTCTCTTCTTGTGTTCTTTAAAATATGTTTGACAGTTAAAAGCAAAAATCAAAGTATCACCTGATGGGGTTTTCAATGAATGGTGTAATGATGATGCAGAATGAATGATGTAGCAGATAGGTACACCATAAAGACGGGCAGAGAAAGAGACCTATGTAGTGATAAAATTTCTATATTATACTTGAAGTGATAAGATATTGATTTGAAATAGACTGTAAAATGCCCATTTAACTCATTTCTGACACTATATATCTAGAGGTGGCAGCATCACATTAACAGGTGAAGAGCTCACTCTCCCAAGCCCATGCTTCACTTCAGACACCAACCACAAGTCCAGGCTACCACCTGGGCTTTTAACCAACTAGATGCAGACTGGGTTTTCCCATGACATCCCCTCAGAATTCACGTGTCAGTCACAAGCCCAGGTTGTTACTTGTGCTTCTGACCGACTGGCTATTTATCAATGTTTCCCAGGAACCCTCCTCAAGTATGGTAAATTTACTAGAGAGGCTCACAGAACTCAGGGAACCCATTTACTTACCAGATCACTTATTTATTACAAAGGAACAACTTATTTATTACCTTCAGGAACAGCTAGATAGAAGAGATATACGAGGAAAGGTATGGGAGAAGGCGTGGCACTTCCATGTCCTCTCCAGGCACACCATTCTCCCCAAATCTCCACACATTCACCAACTCAGAAGCTTTCTGAAGCCCTCTTCTCTTGGGTTTTTATACAGACTTCATTGCACAGGCATAGTGATTAACTGATTGCCCGTTGGCTATTGATCTCAACCTCCAGCACCTCTCCCATCCCTCCAGGTCAAGGATGGGAGTGGGCAGTGGAACTGGAAATTCCAAACCTCTAATCACAAAGCTGGTTCCCCTGACAACCAGCCTCTATTCTTAGGTGCTTCCCAAAAAGTTGCCTCATTACATAACAAAAGGCACATTTAACACTCTTCACTCTTAGGAAATTCCAAGACTTTTGGGAGCTATGAGTCAGAAACTATGGATGAAGACCAAATATGTATGGGAAACATATTTTGGTCATCTGAATGACAATATATATAGTCATATACATCACAAGATTGCACAGAGCACTCTGGGAAGGTGAGTTTCAGTGGCCTGGAGATTTTAACAAGTGAATGATAAGGGAAAGAAAGGGATGAAAGGAAACCTCAAAAGGAGATTTAAGACATATCTTTTTTAATGGGAAAAATTAAGCTATTGTGTTTAAGATGCATACTTGGGTGATAAAACTATAAATTTACTCAAAGAAGGAACTTACATAAAAATCAGGAGAGCAGCTATATTATGTAGGAAGGAGGGACTTGGAGTGAATGGCAAAGTTCTGTTTCTATACCTAAATATGGTGGTTGTAAGTATGTTCACCTTATAGTAACTCAACAAGCTGTATATTTATTGGGTTTGAGTATTTATGGGTTTTTTGCAGAAAAAGAGAGGAAAATCTCTGTTACTTATTTCCCTTTGTGAACTTTGTCAAAAGTGGCTCATGGTGAAAGATCTTCCTGAGCACAAGATTGTATATATAAATATATACGTAATATATCATATATTATATATATATCTCTTCTTCTACACACTTTACAAGGTTCATTTTATACTTAAATTATTAATCTATCGAGGATTTCTGTTTAGTATATGGTGTGATACAGGGATTTCATTTACCATTCTTTCATTCTCCACAAATATTTTCAAACTTTTTTATTATGAAAAAGTAATGGAAAACAAAACTATAAATGGGATGTAAATAATAGTTTTAAGTTATTGTTATTTTGTATCTGCAGTGGACAATTATGTTTGCTACTCAACTTCTGTAATAATTTTGCTTTGCATAATATACTTTGATATTGACTTTGCATTTCTTTTATGTGAATTTAACTTCAGCCCTGAGCTGATGTATTTGCCTAGTCACATAAATTGCATCAGAAGGCTCAAGTGAGTCACACCCTATACACACACTCCAGTTTGCTCTGCTTTTTCCTTCCTTGCAAGGTGACATAGACCTGAACTGAGCTCATCAGTCATGGAAGGCTTGTTGAAATACCAGGGAAAGTCCATTCTCTTTCCAACTTAAACTGGCAACATTTAATTCAAAACTGCCCATGATCACCTTTGTGGATGCCCTGAAAGAATTTTAACAATGAAGACAACACAGAGCAGGATAGAGAAAGATGTGGTTCTATCATCACAATTGGAGCCTGGACACAGCCTCACCTAAAGCTCAATGCTCCTCTACATTTCCATTTTCCCAACCCAAAAAATTTCCTAATTACTTAAACCAACTTTGTCTGAAATTTCCCGTCAGCCCAGGAAATCTTAATTAAAATAGAAAACAACTTTGGTCTCTGCAAAAATGAATACTGGTCAAATATATACTCAGCCAAGTAGCTTAATGCTGATTACTTTGCTAAAAATACATGTAGCAGAGACAGAAGAAAAATTCACCACTGGAGTATTTTCTCTCTTAGTCGTTGAGGTTTTGTGGTCTGAACAGAGAAAATCTTGCAGATTTTTCTAATATGGCATAGGGTATTGCTAGAGGATACATTTTGACAAGACACATTGCAACATGAACCCAATTCACAGAAAAATCAATGGTGCCAAGGTTATCATTGTCCCAATATCACTGGATCTCAAAAATTTCACAGAGGCCCCAGTGCTTTCAGAGTAAAAACATCAATCATCCATGCAGTAATGCAAGATTAATTCACATGTTCAAAAGCATCTGGTCATGACAAAGTCTTTGCCTTCTGAGTACGACTGCTTGTTTGAAGCTCATCCTCCAGCAAGGCTTATTGACATCAGTAAATGTTCCAAAGCACCAAGGACTCACAAGTTTCTTTCATGTGTTCCTTTGCATAATGACAAAAACAAATCTGGGGACATTTGGAGCAGTTGTCTCTACATAAAAATAGCCTTTTGGGGGTCATATCAGTAAATGCTTTTAATAGGTCTGTTTTAAATGTCCAGAAGAGGAAATAACTTTCATTTTAAGGATCATATACTGAAAGTGTGAGCCAGAGAGAGAAAAATTCATTCATTTAAAGATAATTGAAAGAAAACCTTTGGAGGAAAAAAAATCTCAGACAATGGAAACACTATGCTTTTAGCAATTCAGCTTGAGTAGATCTTATTTTTCTCAAAATAATGCATCTAAACATTTTCATTAGCCAGTCAAAATACAAAATCAATCAAGTTTTTGTTTGAAATGATTTATTCTCTAAGTAAATTGATCAGATATGTACACACTCTATGGGTGTTTGTGTGTGTGTGTGTGTGTGTTCATGCAACAATGCTATGAAGGTAGTTTGTAAACCTTGCGTGGTTAACAAAATTTCTTTGAAACATCAAGTAAATATACAACTTTGGAATCATTTAGAGACATATTTCACTTCATCCACATCATAATTTTGCATTAGTAAATATAGATGGAGATTTTTATACCAAGAGAAATAGATTTTTTTTTAATGTTTGCTTTGTTGCTCACAGTGAATCACCAGAACCAAAAACAGAAAAGTGTGTTCCTAGAAGTAACTCTGTGCACAAGGCTTTAGAGAAACATTTCCTCTGTAACCTTCAGTCCTATGAGGTAAAATAAACTTTTTATAATGAGGTTAAAGGCTGAACACTTCATGGAAGTCCACAATAAAAGCCTACAGCTTCATGAAAGACTGAGTTGAACTGAGCCAAACCTTGGAATAGATGTATTCCTGCACCCACACTTCAGTTCTGCTAAAATTCCAGAGCCTTGCTATGATAATCTACAGTGTACGACTTCAGACAGTCCATATATATATAAAACATATGCCAAGGAAGAGGGAAAAAGTAGTTGATTCAGAAAGACAACAATGTTGAGAATGAATTAGTAATTGTACTTAATCTTTTGTGGATTTTATGTTTTCAAGCCAGTTTGAACTCATTCCTTTAAATTCTTCAAGGATTGTCTTTCTCACTCAAACTCATCTAATGTCATGCCTTTCATTATAGAGAATAAAGTATCTGAATTCTTACATAAGACACCTTACATTCTGTATGAGAACTAGAGACTTTGCAACTTTCTCTAAATTACAATAAAACTGGGAATATAGAAGAGAGTATGTTTTGGGATTATTATTTTAGTTTTGCTAGGTGTTGTTGTTTAGGTGTCTGAGTTTTGGGGAATTCCAACCCTGTGGCTGACCCGTGACTGGCAGTGGGCTCAGAGATTTGCTCATTACGCACCATGAATAACAACGTCCCTGGTTATTGCAATCAGTGTCCATCAGTTGGAGAACCAAGCAGATGTAATGGCTGATGAATTACATTTTATGATGCAAATGGCCCTGGGAGGAATTGTGCTCCATGTATCCCAGATTCTTTCTCCTTTTAAAAATCTCATTTTCAATGTCTTGCATGTAACATTTTAAAAGTTATTTTTATTGTTTTTTGTTTCTTTAGAGAAAAGCCTTATTGTAGGAGTAAAGAAGCTTGCATGACCAAACCACAAAAGAAATTTAGTTCTAAAAAGTAACAAAAGAAAATGAGGGAATCTTTCTTTTTTTTCAAATTTACCATTGGTTTGGAGGAGAAAGAAATACAAAAGATTTCATTAGGCTACATGATCCAAAAGGTCTTCAAAAAGGAAAAAAGTTCTTTGAACACTGTTCAAGAAACTAATTTAATATTTCAAAAACTTATAGTGCTTATAATTTATGAGAAGCAACTAATTATGAGACTGCAGATGTGAAGAGAAATTGACAAACTGACAACTTAGGGGAGGAAGACATAGTAGATTGACTTTTATTTTCACTTAAAATAATAGGGAAAAATTTCTTTTTTATTTTGTCTAATTATCCTGATGCTATTGATTTTTTGATAAGCTCTCTGGTTTGTTTATTTCATGAGAAAAATTCACAGAATAAAATGCAAGACTAGCTATATTGTCTTGATTAGGATTATCTCCTTACATTCTCCTATAACCTGTATATTTCAGTGCATGATATAGAGTGAGCATCATTGGGCACCAAGCATTTTACATTGTCCCCAAGTGCTGAGATACTCAACAGGTCCTTCAAGAATACTCTCATTTCTATATCTCTATCTCCATCTCTATTTTCCATCTCTATGACCCCAGTGGATGCGAAATTGTGTATAGAAGGTTTACTTCTCTATCTCCCCATTTTCCTGTCTTTAGGATCATTGTTATTAAGCTTCTCCATCATAGCCTCACTTTATTGTTTGAGAAACTACCCTCTCACCATTTTTAAGTACCTCTCTCTGTCATAAAATAAGCTACTATAAAACTGAAGAACTCGGTCATGGGTGTCCTGATTTTGAGCAGCAAAATCTCACTATCTGGCTCCTTCGCCTTTCCAGAATTTTTTTATACTATAGCTATTCCTGGCAATTCTTTCTTTAGCCCATAGCTAACAGAAATTAGTCAGCTTTGCACCATCTGAAATTTTCTGTGTAATTTACAGATATGCTGTTTGCCCCATACACTCTCCTGCCCCTTACCTCATGTAGATCTTCAATATTCAGCACCTTCCAGGAATAGCTGTGTATTTTCAGAAATTCTAACAACATAGTCAAAGTAGCAAGGAACTGGGCTTGGTAATGTCCATCACTTTAATAACTAAAACCTTCTTTCTCTGATTTCAATGTCAATACTATGAGCTCATCCAAGCCCAGATTCTCCATAATTTTGAGTGCTCATAGTCTAACCAGGAGTGAATTTTACCATTCCTCCTCCATTTATTAGGGAATGGAGGAGCAAATGCATGATAGCTAAGAACTGTGAAGATATTTGATGCAGTTATATCTTGGCATCATGAGTTTGAGGCTTAGCATGCATGTTTGGTTTCCCAATTGAAGCTGACTCCAGCTGCCCTCACTAGCTGCATTCATGAGCTCAGAGCCTGTGTCTCTTCTGTCTTGATTCCTAATCACTCTGCATCCAAGTTATCGATGTTTTATTTTATTTTTGTGTTTAAGGATTTAACAATTTACATTTTCCTGGGGCTACTTCCATTATTCCAAAAAGCAGACTATACCTTTTTAGTCCTACAAATTCCAAACACGAGATAAACATAATCCGGGATTGAATGTCTGAAATTTTATTCCATAAATAATTCCTAATTTACACATTCTTATCCTAAAGAGAGATATTAGGCTCTTCCTAGGTTTTTATATGCCTTTAGTCCCTAGCACAGTGTTTTATACAGAGTAGACAATAATATGTTGGACTTATTTTTAACTGGGGGCCCTGGTTTCCCTTCATTACTGGTTTCTTCTATATGCAGTCCAAAAATCTAGGGCTTATTTTATATGAACAAAAGTAGCCACCATCATTTCCTGAAGGCCGAGTCAGAACAGTTCTGCATATAAGAGATGGAGAATGCCTCTTACATCATATAATGAGACAAGTTTTTGAAGTCCACTCCTCCATTCTTCACTCTGCTTTCCTCCTCCACTCTACTTTTCACCATTATCCTTCTGTTGTTTGGTTTCCTACAAGATCTACTTTCATGGATCCCTCTAGAAATGCATGTGTGAACTGGAAAGGGGAGGAAAGGCTGGCTACCAGCCTTCTACCATTTACATTCCAACCATCATCAAAACCTGCATAGTCTGGGCACTATTGTGGGTTAACAGAGAAAGTTACATTGTTTGAAATATAAATTTATATTAGCTAATGCTATAGTTGGAAAAGTAACATGTTAAGTAGGAATGGATACTCTATATTAGCACCAGGGCAAAAGTAGATGGGGGATAATAGAGAAGAAACAGGCAATAGTAGCACATGGTGGGAAACGAAGACCAATGAGGAGAGATAAGTCTGTAGAACGGTGGAAAAGGAGGACCCAGTGAATGAGATGGGTTTGTAAAATCAAAGTCTGGAAGGAAGAAGACAGAAAAAGAAAAGAGCTCAAGACAAGAAGTGATATGGTCTGTATAGAAAAGCTCAATGGGGACACAGATATTCAAGGGCCCAGATAGTCAAAATGAGAAAACCTGGAAGGATGAACAGTCACTTTGGCTACTGAGATGGCTTCAGGGAAACCATTTTCAAATAAAACCCTGTCTACATGAGTCCAGTCACACAGTTTCTCTTATTCCCTTTCAAGGACCAAGAGCTAGCAGAAAAGAACAGACCGGCCAGGGATAAAGTTATGAATCAAATGCTGACTGAGAAAAAAATCGTAGGTATTTAGTTGAGCAAATAAAAAATTTTTAAAAGATTATCACGTGGCATAGTATCTATAATTTTCCACCTGGATATGAATTATAACCTGATTTGAGACATAATAGGTGTAATAAAATAGTCTGTGCACTCTAAATGGTGAATGAATTGTGAAAAGCATGAATAAACAGATTTTCTAAGAGTGTGAAAAGCTAGGCCATTATGTCATCATCTTAAAAATTCTCCTTTTTATGACCTGGGTTGACAACAAAAACTGGAGATCTTGTGAGACAACATGGACTCACTAGTCAGGTTAGGAATTTATTGCTTGAAAAACCTATAACAAGTCACAGGTGTATCTTGATGAGTTGGGATGGGGATATAAATGTGAGACACATAAATGAGCTCAAGCAAGTAGACCATACAGGGCCCCTTTGGGCAGTAGACCGAAGACTTGGGGTTAATGTGAGGACAGAGTTCAGAGGAAGATGACCCCATGAGGAAGTTTCCTGAAGTCACTGTCACAAGAACTATGTGAAATTCTGGTCATGAATATATAGACTCACTCACTGACTTTATTTTATAAGGACAAATGCTTTTCATCTGTGGCACATTTTTAAGAAGACAAATTCTAATTTCTGCCAAACACAGAGCAAAAGGAAAGTAGGAAGAGATTCACCAAAGGCATTTCTTTAACAAATAGCATATCTATTGTATGTGATTTCTTAAATTGGCTATGAACTGAATTTCACCTTTGGCATTAAATAGAAATATTTATTTTCACTATCCCCATTGCTTTAATGTGTGCAGAAAATATAAATAATGAGGCAATATCTATTACAAAACCAGTAAAACAACAACTTAGATTGATCCAGAGAAACCAATTACAGATTGGTGGGAGTTACAAGTTTCAGGAGTTCACTACATATATGAATCTAAGGATCTAATTATTGATGGATGAGAATATGTAAGTAGGTGCTTCCTTGGAAAGCTGATATAATTTAGTTGATCTGACATCTTCAATGCTGCCCTCACTTAAGGATTGTTCATGTAGATTGTTTCAACTTCTGTCACCAGAAATAAGAAAGAAAAAAAAAACTACACAGGTGGCTATATATATATATATATATACATCCTGTCCAAACAGAAGCTACCATGACAGAGAACCTTGGAAGAAAGTCTACCTTGAGAGATGGGAGGATTAATTAATAAAAGCAAAAATGATTCAGTGATCCTTATGAGAACAGAACAGTCACAAGTGATATAAATCAGCCCCCTTGAAATTTATTACTGATCAACTTTTATAGTTAAAACAAACAGGAAGCCTATTAAGAGTCAACGAGTCATGGAACAGACTTTTGGAAAATATGCTAGCTGAGTATACATATTTAATTCCTCTCCATACCAACCTCTTGTTTAAATGACCAAATGGAATATTATACTGCCATGAAAATGATTGTGGAAGATCTATACATAGCAACATGGAAAAAATGTACAAAATATAGCTAAATTAATAAAGCAAGTTATAGATTGACATCCCATTTTTTATAAAATAAATGCAATTATGGAATTGTAATAAACATGAAAGTTAATAAGTATATGAACATTTTATATAGTTAATGCATCAGTTAATAAATAAGTAATTTAATATATAGAAGACATAACTATAGAAGTCACACTGAAATTTGACACTTTAATTAAAAATTCTTTTATGTATATTTATTTTCAGTTTCAAAAGTAAATTTGGAGAAATTTTTATAAAACTTAGGCACTGTAAGTTCATAAAAGGAAACATATTTGTCTTTCTACCTACCTTTCCATACTAACATTCACTTTCTAGATCACACTTTAGGAAATGTTTGCATTATTTGCACTTTACTCTTTAAACCAAAGAAAATAGAAGTTAAAAACAGTAAACAAAAATATATAATTAAAGTTCTATCAGAATCAGGAACTATGGAAAAGTTCTATCCAAAAGCAGAAATCTAAAGGAGTGTGGCCAAATGAAAATTCACTGCATGTTAAGACAAAACTATAAAACTATCCTGGAAACTAAGTGGGAAAAAACTGGACAAGTCCCACTACAATCCCTAAGGCAACAGTAGTGGGTAGTGGGGAGGTCCTGTGGAGCAGGCTGCCGTGAGTGATGCATGGTTATGTAGGCTACATCCTGCTGGGTGAACTTCCTTCTGATTTTCAGTTCAAACAGTCCAGCTGGACAAAATATCCAGTCAGAGGGAAGGAATCACTTTGATGACAGTAAGGTGAAAAGATTTTTTGATCTGATTATTGATCATTTGCATTTCTTTTGTGAATTGTCTGGAGAGAATTAAATATCCCTGTGGCAATTAGCTTGGATATTGGCATCATCCCTATTTGGGCCAGCTATTTCCCCACTCCTTGAAAACTGTGGATCTCTGAGTTAGTTGAAAGAAACTGTAATCAACCTAAATGGTTCACTTGTCACCTCATCAAGTCCTGAAAAACTCAAAAGGGATCCATCCATATGATGATCCACAGTAGAATCCACCTCAATTTCCAATATTGAACAAGTAAAGATTTCTCTCTCCAAATCTCAGGAGATAGCATTAAACTTCTAGACACTGGAACCAAGTGAAACGAGCACAAATCTGATATATCAGATTCCTGTTGAGAGAAATCTTTAATTTATCAAAGTGATATTCTGTCTCCAAACTAAAACAAATCATCTCGATGTGGGGAATGCCTCACATGGTGCTAATCAAATATTCTGCATGCTTTCCAGGTTGAAACAAATAATTGGTTTGGGCCAGTGAGCAGAAGTGATGTGTAAAAGATTGATATAATCTTTGTATTCTCACTTTACCCTCTATAGTCATTCCAGAAATAACAATTGTGGCGGAACCACAAAATGAAAGCTGCTTGGAATATCTGAATATTTGCTGTGAAGCAACCATCCTGGAGAAGCTCCCGAAGATACCAGGCTTCATGTGAGCAACAAGTAAATCTTAAGTCATTGAAATTTTGAAGTTTATATAGTTGTAGCATAGCTTGGCTATGACTATATAACAGACCTCAGACTTTTAAAATATTTTTATAATATATTTTTTATAATTGTATATATATACACATAGAATTACTAAACTAAAGAATACAATAGGAGTAATTGGGGAAACAAATGGAGAAAATTTATTTGCAGTCAGAGCAGTCACTAATTCTCAGGTAGGAGTAACAGATCCAAATTTAGTCATATTTGCACTCAAGTTTTTTTCTAATTTTGAGATAAAACAAACAAGGTTAAGGATGGCAACAATAAAACTTAACTATAAACACAGTGCCCAGAGGAAAAATCAGTTTGGCATAAGAGTTCTCTTCTGTAATACTAAGTAGTACGATGTACAAGGTTTTGAAGAAAAGAAGAAAGTATGAGAACAATATCTGTAATTAGTGTAAGAGGAACAGAAACATAGTCTTAGACACATAACATAGAACATATAACTCATAGCTCTAATCTTTCTTGAAATTTTTGACATATAAGAATGTTAAGTTTCATCAAATATTATACACTTTTCCAAACCCATAGAATGTATAACACCAAGAGTGAACTATAAACTATGAATGTTGGGTAATTGTGATGTGTTGATGGAGTTTCATTTGTTTTAACAAAGATATCACACTGGCAGGAAGTACTGACTTTGGGGGAGAATATTCATATATGGAGGCAGGGGTTATATAGAAAATCTTTATACCTTTTCTTCAATTTTACTGTGAACCCAAAAGTTCTCTGAAAAAAAAATCAAGTATAGAAATACTAATATCAGATAAAATAGAAAATATTCTCATTGAGTGGTTAACAGTTATGGTGTCCCAGGGAGAGAAGAGAGTTATGAAAGGGAGGGCAAAGAGTGATGGTCAAAAGCACTGCAAATTTGATGAAATATATGAACCTATACAACAAAAGTTATAATAAACTTCAAGTTGGATAAATCAAAAAGATCTACACCAAGACACATTATAATCAAACTGTCAAAGTCATCTATAGAGGTTGCTCAATAAGATCAGCAGCCAATATCACATCAGGAATCACTTCCAGAAGGTGGTAAGATGCCATATTGAAAGTATTAAAAGAAAATATCAACCAAGAATCTATATCCAACAAAACTATCTTTTTTAAAAAATGAAGGAGAAATTAAGACATTCTCAGATAAATAAAAGCTAAAGGAGTTTATCACTGGTTGGCCTGCCTTACAAAAAAATGCCTCAGGCTGAAAGGAAGAGGACATTTAAAGTTATTTGAAATCATATGAAGAAATAAAGAACTCCAGTTCTAGTTTGCAATTAAAAGGTTTATATACCATGACCAAGAGGGATTTATGCCAGGAATTCAAGGATATTTCAACACAATTTCCACTGAAGATTAATCAGTGTGACATACCACATAAGTAGAACAAAAAAAAAGAAAACACAAACGAGTGTCTCAATTGACATAACAAGAGCATTTAATAAAATGCCTTTCATGATAAAACACTCAGAAAACCAAGAATAAAAGATAATGTCCTCAATACAATTAGAATAATTTATCTTAAAAAATACAAACTCAGAGTTAACATACTCGATGATGAAAGGATGAAAGCTCTTCTCTAAGATCAGAAACAAGACAGGAATGCCTAAAAGGTTTCCCGTTTTAACTAGTGCTATTCAACTTTGTACTAGAAGTTCTAGCCGCAACAATTAAGCCAGAGAAAAAAGTAACAGTATCCAAATTAGCAAGTAAGAAGTGAAACTATTTCTATTTTCAGAAGACATGGTCATGTATAAGCAGGTTCCAAAAAATACATGCACACACATTTAAATAACTGCAGAAACTAATGAAGAAATTCAGCAAAGTTTCAGGGTACCAGATTAATACACAAAAGTATATTTGAAAGGAATATACTTCAACAAAAAGAAAGTAAAATAACGTATAAAAGAATAAAATTCCTATGAAGAAATTCAACCACAGATAAAAGACTTAAACAGCAAAAACTGCAAATGTTGCTGATGGAAATTAAAGAAATAGAATGTCATTCCAAGTCCATAGGTTGGAAGACCATGAACCCATGATCAAAAGCAGTCTACATGCAGATTTGATCTAATCTCTTTCAAAATGTCAATTGTCTTCTTTTGCATGAATGGAAAAACCAATCCTTAAATTCATTTGTCTTCGTTTGCATGAATGGAAAAACCAATCCTTGAATTCATTTGTAATTTGCAAAGAAGACTGATAGCTAAGACAGTACTGAAAGAAAACGAACAAAGCTGGAAAATTCATACTTGCTGAATTTAAAACTTAATACAAAGTTATGACAATTAAAACAGTTGGCACTAACATAAGGATAGACATGTAAAACAATAGAATGGAATCAAAGGTGCAGAAATATTTATCTATGGTTCACTGATTTTCAGCAAAGGTGCCAAGACAGAGCAACAAAAGAAAAAATAGGTAAATTGTACTTTATCAAAGTTAAAAACTTTTTGTGCACAAGAAAAAATTTTTATCAAAAATGTGAAAAAAAAACCCTGCAGAATGAAATACTTCAAAATAAGACAAAAGATGCCTGAAAGAGTCTAATATCCAGAACTCATAAAGAATTCTTAGAACTCAACAGCAAAATGACAAATAACTCTATGAAAAAATGAACAATGACATAAATAGACATGTCTTAAAAAAAGACATACAAATGGTCAATGAACACATGAAAAGATTCTCAACACTGCTGCTCACTAGGAAGATGTACATCAAAATTACGAGTTACTCCTTACCGCCACAAGGATGTCATTTGGGGGAAAAAAAAAAGGAAAATGAGGAAAATGACAATGGAAGATGCAGGAAAATAGGATTCCCCTACATTGTTAGTGGGAATATACAGTAGTTCAACCTTGTGGACGCCAGTTTGGCAGGTCTTCAAAAAGTTAAACATAGAATCACACTATGATGCAGCAATTCCACTCTTAGGTATGTATCCTACATCCCAAAATAGATACTCGAACAAATGTTCATACAGAAATGTTCATAGTATCACAATATATGCTATTCACAATTGTGTAAAACAAAAGTCAAAGGGAGAAACAACCCAAACGTCTATTAATAGATGAATAAATACACAAATTATGGAATATTATTTGGCTATAAAAAGGAATAAAATATAGATATATTCTCCAATATGAATACATCTCAAAAACATGATGTTAACTGAAAGAAACCAGACACAAAAGGTCATACATTTTATAAATGATCATATATATATATATGAAATATTCAGATTTGATGAAGCCATAGAAATAGTAATCAGATTCATGATTGCCAGAATCTCAGGGGGCTTTTGTGAGATTTTATTTTGGCATGATGATAATATTTTGGAACTAGATAGAAGTGGTGAGTGTACACTAACGGAAATGTGCTATATGTCACTGAATGGTTGTTTTTAAAATGGTTAAGTTTGTCATGTGAATTTACACTGGATTAAACATACAAACAAAACATCTCTGTTAACCAAGCAGTCTTCAACCTATAACTCATATCTTCTGCAAATGCACCAGAATGTCACAAATCCTCACTATTGCAGTAACTGTTAGGGGGAAAAGGCTGTCCTAAAGCTAATTCCATACAGGCTTTGTGGACTCCACCCCCACCCCAGGCCAAAGCCAAAGACACTGGGAACTCCAAATCCCATCACCACCAAAGGGAAGGTGGCTGGGACCCGAGGGTGGGGTTAAGCAGCCAAGTTGGTATAAAGGCAGACACGTGGGCTTTGGGGGGTCCCCCATTTTGTCTCTCCACCAGCTCACAGCGTCTGGCCAGCTCTGAGAGGGACTTTGGGTTTCCAGGTCGGCGGATCGGGTAGGACGCATTAAAGACTTTATTTCCCTATTTTCTCTCTGAGTTGTACATTTTCCTTATTTCCCTTTCCCTTGTAAATAAACCTTTTATTAACCTTTTATGTGAGTCTGTAGTGGAGTATTAATAAGTCCCTTTTAAGCGTGCGGGTGAGGACCCACAGCCAGGCAGCCCATTTTCTCCATTAATGTCCGTCCCTCGTCTGGCGCGGCTTAGGCCCGGCCCAGGAGAGCACGACATCACCACATCGATCAGCAGTAGGCAGCCCATTTTATATCGGGGCTGCTCCGTAACATTACTATGATGGCTCCAGAAGTGATCAGTAGGTTGAAGGACTATTGAGATTAATGCATGATGGGAGATTAAAGTGAACCCACCTAGGTTCACTTATGAATGTTAATGAGGTAAAGCATTTATTGAGCTAATTTTTTTCCTCACTGAAACATGTGGAAACACACAAATGTGCCTTCAGAGGTCTTTATTTGCTTTTTCTCTACTCAGGGGAGAGTTCTTGTTACATCAGATTTGAGGAGATAAAGCTAATAACAGAAAGGAAAATAAGAGGCTGACTAGAGTAAACTTTTTTTTTTTTTTTTGCAATAAGTCAATTCATCCCAAACTCGTAGGCATTTCCATTTCTGTTGGGCGAACAGCGGAGAACGTAAAAGATGAGGAAAAACATATATTTGTTTCATAGCCAGTGATCCCATTCTGGCTTGCAATGTTGCCTCAGCGGATCAAAGATAAACAACCAGGGAAGGAGAAGGAACGTGGAGAGACAGAATAAAACACGCTCTTCAAAGCTAGAGGCATCCTTCCCCCACCCTCTGAAGGCCAGGGTCTTCCATTTGGAATATCAATGTTTTTAAAACTTTTGATAATTACGAATGTAAAGAAGAGAAAAGAACTTTCTTCACAGTAGGATTTCTTATCTATGCTGACCTATCAGCTCCTTCATGTGGGGATGTGGGCCCCAATTCTCAGGATTTTAGAAAAGAATGTGTTAAAATGGGGCTGGGGTGGATGAGAGGAAGCTGAGATGTGTGCGGATGGTTTAACATGCAAATGTCTCCATTTCTTTTAGGTGGAGGATCAAGGTTTGGCTATTTTCAA